GGTGAAAATAAAAATCTTTAATTTTATTGATAATAAAAATTAAATTTAAAATTTAATATTTTTAAAAAATTCTAGATGCGTATAATTATAAAGAAAGATTGTGTGCTATTCCACGGAGAAACTCCATTAATGAACAATTTTTCTGATTATTAATTATAATATCAAACCTTTGTTCTCTTTCAATAGTACCTTTTTTAGGTGTTTAACGTTGTGCATCATATATAATAGCTTCTACTTGATGCTCAACTTTTTGTTGTTCCTTTTGAAATTCCTCAATAATAGTATAAACACCCACATGTGGTCGACCAACTAAATTTTTCTATCATCGGTGCTATGCTTCGACAATGTTCTGTATTCGAGGAATATCTGCTTTCATGGAGTCATGCACGGACTACATTTGTGGCGGGAAAAGGGGTAGTGAATAGCTAATATTACTATTACGCATTTGTCGTATTTGTTTTTTGTGAACGTAATTTTCCTCAAACCATTTTACTACCTCCTTGGTTTTCGTAGACATTTCCTCCTTTAAAACATCAAATGCTGCAGGAATTTCATTTGACAGTAAGAATGCTAATGCAAACAACTAATGCAGTTTTATACTAAAATCCTCGTCAAGTCCATAACGAGTTGATAGTTTGTTATTTTGAATTTTTCTCTAGCCGCTTTGTCCTAAGTGAAAGAAGCAACACTTATTGTTAACATTAAGAAATTCAATACGTGATGCGTTTATTTTGGCAAGTTCAAAGTCTGTAAGAATTGCTGTAGGGCTTAATAAAATATTATTTTCTTCTGCAAATTCAATCAAATCTTGAAATAGTGCTCTATATAAAAATTCTAATTTTTTTGTCATTAATACATATACTAAAGAAAGAACTCTTGAATTATCCCCTGTACCAACAGGTGCATAGAAAGTGTACAATTGACGAAAAATAGTTAGAACAGTCTTAAAGATACCATCTATCATCCAGTATAAAGAATTAGATAAGTGTTGTATATTAGCCTTTGTGGTAAACAAGAGAATTTGCTCTTCTTCAATTATGGAATCTTTTACTAAAAAATTTTCCCCACTTAATGTCGAACAAAGTGAATTAGGAATATTAATATCATCAAGTTTTTGGGGTTGCGGAGGCATGTCTGCTCTTCTAATACATTTAATTCAGACACACAAAGCATTTTGTGATGAAACATAGTGATAGATTTCCTTTGAGATACTAACAATCGCATTTTGAATTATTTAAGCTGGCTGGTCTCTGGTTCCCTGAGCTTGATCTCTTATATGAGCAATACTTCATGCAACTTTGGCGCTGCTGGCTTGTGGGGCATGATTATGATCATTAAATTTTTGAAGGTGATATAAATTATTAATAAGTATTGTTGTAGCATGATCTTTGCATTCGTTTGATTTTCTTTTTTCACAGCACCAATAGAACTTATCCTCCCAACTTCGTTCCTTCACCATTAAATAATCACGGACATTAATCTTATCTATTCCTTTTTGAGAAGGTACAATTTCACAAATTTTTTCCATTTTTTTAGTTATAATAAAATAAAGATTCTAATTTTATAATTACTAATTTGGATACAGAAAAATGGGATATGAGGTTGATAAAAGAATTTATAGTGTTGATATGTATTTATCTAATACGGTACTAAAATAACTATCTATTAGGTTTTGCTTCTACCAAAAATGTTTGATGGTGTTATAATATAAGATAAGGCAATTTTTAAAGACGTGATGTGATTTGTTGAGATAAATTTGAGAAATTT